TGCTGTGTTCTTCAGACGATCATTTGGAAGTAGTAGAAAATAATTTCCCTGGATGAGGGGTTGTCCCTCGTGAGTAAAGAGCACAACCCAAAAGGTGGAGGCAAAGAGAGGACAATGGAGGCTTCCAAGATTATTCTTATTGCACTTGGAGTCTTCAGATGCTGCTCCTTTGTCACCTGGGATCCTGGAGAGTCAGTGTCTTGAGGACCCAAACATAAAAGTAGCTTTGTTCTGTGATGCTCCTGCATGGGGCTGCAGTGCCGGTGATGGCCTCTAGGTGGTGACAGCCTTCTGGGCTTCTGGTGCCCACTGAGCTTTGCTGGAGAAGCTGGAGCAAGGAAGAGTCACACTGAGGTCATGCACCTTGTGTTATTATCAACGATCCCCACATTGTCAAGTGGTCAAAAGCAGGAAGGAGAATTTGAGATTCCCCCTCGCATTCACTTAGCCAGTCTTTCCCTTGCACTAACCCTTTGCCAGCTACCCTGGTGGACCCAACATGTGGTACAGAAAAGGATTGAATCCTGCCTGCACCCTGCCCTGAGGACCAGTCTGAGGACAGATGACCAAAAACACTAAAACAAGTATACGTGAAAGAAAAGAGCAACTGCTATAATATCAAGTAGAATGTTGACAGAAGAGCTGGGAAATCATTACATGGAGTGACCCAAATGCCTCCCTGAGATGACATTTATGCCATGATGACAATGACAATAGGGAGCCAGCCCTGCATAAGAATGTGTCAGGAGAAGCCACCGTTAGTAAAGAGACCCACAGGTGTGAGTTGGGCAGAAGTTAGAAAGGGACCACTGTGGCTGCAGAGAGCCTGAGAGAGAAGAAGAAGGATGGAGAATCTTGGGGCCTGGGAGATGAGGCTAGTTATCCGCTTCTTTCTTACAACGTTGCCCTGAAACTTAGCACATTTCAACAACAAATACTATCACAATTTGTGGGGACCAGAAACTGGACACAGTTTAGTTGGGTGCCTCTTCCTCAAGGTCTTTAGGAGGCTTAGGCCTCATAAGAAACTGGAGTTCTCAACAGAAGCTGGACTGGGGAAGGATCCTGTGGAAACTGGCAACATTTTGTGTGGCCTGAGAGCCCAAGTTTCTTCCATCTATTGGCCTGAGCACTCCCTCAGTTCTTTTTATGTGGGTCTGCACACAGAGCATCTCGTAGCATTGGAATTTGTTTTTTCAATTTGAGGAATACAATGCAGAAACAGAGAATTAAACAGACACACAAAAAAAGAGAGACTGAGGGAGCAAACAGGACAGAGCAAGTAGGAAGAAAATGACAGCTTTTAGAAATATGTATATAAACTTGAGAGTTACGATTTCTCCCCCTATATTTGTGTGAAAATTCTAACCCTCAGAGTCATGGTACTCTGAGGCAGGGCATAATTAAGTCCTGAAGGTGGGGTCCTCGTGATTGGGATTACTGGCTTTAAAAAAGATACCCCAGAGGGCTCTCTCCCTCCTTCTGCCAAATGATAAAACCCGAAGTGTGCAGTCTGCAGTTCAGGAGAGTCATCACCAGAGCTCAACCATGCTGACACCCCGATCCCACATTTCCAACCCCTACAAGTGTGAGAAATTAAGTTCTGCTGATAAGCTTCCTAGTCCACGGTTCTTTGGTATGGCAGCCTGAACTGCGACAAAAATGATACCCTATCATTCTGTACTCCATTGGACCGAAGTGGAATTTTTGTCCCCAAGGTGTTAAAAAAAAAAAAAAAAAGCAAAAACAAACAAACAAAAACAAAACAAAACAAAACAAAAAAACCTATGACTAAAATAAGTTGGGTTTTTCCAAAAGACAAATAAGAAAAAACTTGTTGAAACACCGAAATTTCCTTTGCTTAAGAGATTTTTAAAAACTGGCTGAAATTAGTTGGAACCAATATGGTCAACTGAAGCCTGTGAAGAATAAGCTTGCTGATGTCAGGACCCAAATTGTCATTGCATGTTTCTTTTTCTTTTCTTTCTTTCTTTTCTTTTTCTTTCTTTCTTTTTTTTTTTTTTTTGAGACGGAGTCTCACTCTGTTGCCCAGGCTGGAGTGCAGTGGTGTGATCTCGGCTCACTGCAACCTCCGCCTCCCAGGTTCAAGCGATTCCTCTGCTTCAGCATCCTGAGTAGCTGGGATTACAGGTGCCTGCCAGCACACCCAGCTAATTTTTGTATATTTAGTAGAGACGAGGTTTCACCATGTTGGTCAGGCTGATCTTGAACTCCTGACCTCATGATCCGCCTGCCTTGGCCTCCCAAAGTGCTGGCATTACAGGTGTGAGGCACCACGCCCGGCCTCCATTGCATGTTTCGTACCAACTCTCCCCAAATTCGCACATGACCTGTGAGAGAACAAGATGACTGTGCATGCCCAGTGACTTTCTGTACTCCTTTTTCCCTTCCAGCAGCTCCCTATTAATCCAGAACCCACCTCTTACCTTTTCTAATTACTGCCTTAAAGCCAGTATAAGGAAACAGTTTTGAGCTGAACTCCTATCTCCTTGTTGGCTAAACTACAAGATGTTTTTCCCCCCTCAAAAACCAAGCATCGCATCAGGCAGTGAGCCATTTTGTTCAATAATAAACTGAGTTACTAATGACTTAGTGCTGGGAGACTTTGTGGAGACTGCCCACCACATAGGCTGAGACAAGCCACATGAATATGATCCTTAATATGATGGGAAGGCACTGGAAAGTTTATTGCCAGAGGACAATATTGGAATTTAATTTCAACCTCTTGCTGGTGCAGAATGGAAAAATGAGGCCAAGTGGGGAAGTGACTTTCCCGAGATCACACTGTCAGACCCCAGGCCTGTTTGAGTTGGAGTTCATGCTACTCCCCACCCATTCTTGTAATGCTTCCCTCTCTAAGCGTGTGCATTATCTACAGGTGACACCACACCATGATTTTCTTCCTCTTTGAGACAGTATCTCATTCTGTTGCACAGGCTGAAGTGCAGTGGCACGATCTCAGCTCACTGCAACCTCTGTCTCCTGGGCTCAAGCGATTCTCCTGCCTCAGCCTCCTGAGCAGCTGAAATTACAGGTGCACAACAGGATGCCCAGTTAATTTTTGTATTTTTAGTAGAGATGGGGTTTCACCATGTTGGACAGGCTGATCTCGAACTCCTGGCCTCAAGTGACCCACCCGCCTTGGCCTCCCAAGTGCTGGGATTACAGGCTTGAGCCACTGCACCCAGCCTACACCATGATTTTTATAAGTTTTGTCTCATATACACCTGATAAATTCCCTAGGAGGTAGATGCCAGCATAATCCCCACTGTGCATGGTAGGAGGCTGGGGAAGCCCCAAAACAGACAACGGCTTTTACTGGGTCACAGATATGGTAAGATAAACAAGGTTCTGACCCAGCTGTCTCTTCTATTCTAAAGCCCAGGCTGCATTTAGGTCTTCCCAGGAAATTAAGGGGAAGGTGTGATTTCACAATTACATACAAATAGAGGCCTGACATGGGAGAGGAGGCTGAGTAATCAGTGGGGCCTTTGGGTAGGTCTTATAGAAAGAAGGGGCCAGTGGATGGAACCTTGAAGAGACTAACATACTTCCTTGGTGATGGAACCCAACAGAACTTAGAAAACCAGGACCCCACCTCCTAGAGGCAACTCTGTATCCAGCTCCTTTGGTGAGAGATACTCAAGAGAGTAACATGCTCTTCCATGGTATCCTTACATTTCTGAGTTTTAGCCTTACAAAGGCTCAAACTAAAAGCCTTCTCTGAAAATGCAGTTGTCCACTCAGCACTCATTTCTAATGAGGCGTACCCACAGATAACAGGGCAACCCAGAACACATCCAGGCCAGTCCTCTCTTGTCATTTCATCCAGACAGCCCCACATCGTCCCCCACTGCCATGTCTTGCAGGGGGATGAAGAGGTGAGGGCATTCTTCCTGGACAGAA